GGCCCGGCGCTGAGGCGGCCTGCAGGCGGGGGCTCTGGCCCGGGGAGGGTGGGCCCCTTCTCTCCCGCTTCCCGTTTTAAAGCCGGTTTTTGTTACTCGGTTGACGAGACGCGGCAGGGGAGACCCTGGCGTTGTTACCCGCCAATGATTTTTTTTTTTTTTTCACCTTCCAGCTAGAACTGTCCTAAAAACCCGTATTATCTGCTGGCAGCTGAACCCGGGGTATTTTATCTACAGCTCTCACAAGCTGTTAGTTTTGCTGCAGCTGCATAATGTCTCTTTTTAATACTCCAAAGTTGCGTGCCCTGTCCGTGTGGCGCAAAAAGAAACACGTGAACAGCACATTCGTTATTCAGAATTACCTCTTGAATGCAGCAGCATGGAGCTATGAGTTAGTCGTCTTACGGAGTTTGGATTCGTACAGTTGTGAAAGCCTTCCTCGTGAAAATCTCCCTTTATTGCATGTAGGTTGTCGGCGAAATCCGTGAAAAGGGGCAAAGGTGCATGATCTGGGCTTAATTCAGATCATTGTCTCAAAGGTCTTTGCCTCTGATAAGAAGAGCCCCAGGTGCCTTCAGGCCAAAAGCAAGCTGTATGTTTCAATCAAATTGTTGTCATGACTACTCACAAAGCAGGAGTTGTTTTTAAAAAACTGGTGACACTCAATTTTTGAAATTCGTTCTCTTTTGTATCTTTTTGGTTGTCAAGTATTGATAATACATCAATGCATTTATATGCTGAGCAGCCTATGTTTGCTTTACTCTTGTCGCAACTTCATTTTTTTGGTACTTTTAATGTTGGGGCAATTGCTGCAATTCTTATGTAAGGACTTTATCTCAGAATTGTTGAGAATTCCATAAGTGATACTGAATCGTCATGAAAGAGGTTATATGTGAACCTCTGGCTTGAGCTACTGTGCATAATGTCATTACTTTTATACAACCATCGAGGTGAGGCAGATTCCAGTGCTTCAGGCCAACCTAATTTTTTGCCTCTAAGAGCAAAAGGGGAAGGTGGCTTCTTGCCTTTAATATCTGTGCTTCAGGGAACAGGAGAGCTCAAGAGTTTGGGTTTTGGGTTTTTTTTAGTTGGGGTTGAGAGAGAGGGGGAAGAATGGAAAAAGAAGAATGAAGCTGTTTCATACATTAGGGCAAATATCAGCCGTCACAAAAGTATGATTAAGGATTTTTTTTGCTTTTATTCTTCCTTTCTCCAGTTTTGACAGGCTGACAATAGTAACAAGTGAACTGAGAAACCACAGGCAAGAGGAAAAAAAGACAAAAGTTGTAGTTGATCCTTTAGCTCTTTTCCACCCCCCACCCCTCCCCAGCCCCGTTTGTATTGTGACCTAATACAGGATTTATTCTTCCCAGAGGCATTTTTAGTTAAGAATTAAGAACTTTGAGAAAGTCAAGCAAGACAATGGAAGATGAAATGTGATAGTCTTTTTCCCCTCCAACTCTCAGATGGAATTTGCTTATGAGTGATCTGGTGTCTACAGATAAAGTTGACTTCTTCAGCTAGAGAAAGGAATAAACGTAATATCTTTTTTTACTTAAAGGAAATGCTGAGCATTGCCTAGAGAGAGGAATGTCAGCTCTACTTTTTTGGTATCAACTGAATAGTTGTAAGACAGGCAGACTGAAGGCACAGCTCAATTAAAATGTTTTACTAAACCAACTGGTTTAGTAATAACATGGTTAATATGAAATTAAGAAATGAGATCCTAAAGTTCGCTTTCTTGGAAACAGAAAGTAGAACAGTTAATCTTTCATACTACTGAATAAACCTGTTAGTGTGTGCATACGTACCGTACTTTAGTACTGGTTATATCTGTCCCATGAACTTGGCTGATGTAGAAGACCTTTGCAGTGTAGCTTGAACAGTGCATTTAAGGAGAGATTCTTCTTGGCTTTTAGTGGTTAATTTCATTTTGTTTAAAATGTAAATATGAAACCTTTGGAAGATGTCTGCACTTTAGTATTTTGATACTATGGTGTTTTCAGTATGAGTAGTTCTGTCATCACTGGTATTTGTTTGCGAAACCAAGGTGGTTCCATTCTTATGCTCCCCTGTTTGCGTGTGTCTTTATATACAAATCTCAAATATTTAAAGCATTTGGATTTACTGTTTCTGCTGGTGACATTTAGATAATTTTCAAACAATATAAATGGTGTTGATGAGCGTCAAAAACCACACCTCTTGTTTAACGCAGCAGACTGGATTTATTTTTCCTAAACAGAGATTATCAATAATGATTTATACTTTAATTAAAGTATTATTTTTTGATGTTGCTGTTGGGGTTTTTTTTGGTGTTGGGTTTTTTTGTTTGGTTTTTTTTTTTTTACTGCAAGGGACTCTGATAGAAATGTTAAATAGAAGATGTAAAAACTCTGCATGCATATTCATGTAACAAACTTTTGCCATATTCAGGAATTGTTTTAGATGCTTGTCTCCGAGTGGCTCTCTGTGAAGTTGTGTTTTTCAGGGCTTATTTCAAAACCCTCCTCTGCTGCTAACCTCTTTTGAGTGTAGTATATGCCATTGATTTAGTAGTTGTTCTACCGAAGCTGTAGTTTTAGACTTGTTTGAAATTTAGGCTCACATGAAATACTTGCACTGAATACAGCTGTTCAGGTAACCGGTAGCTATAGCTTAAATACATTTGAAACTGCTTTGAGGAAAGTGAACGGAGTTGTGAACATCTTGATGTCTTTTTTAGCTGTGTATTTCATTCTTAAATGTTCCAAAAATCACAGGAAGTAATATTTTACTGAAAGCATGTTTTTCAGAATTGAAAGTGCATTTCAGATTTTTGCCTTTTCAGTGACAGAACAGTTTTGCAGTGAAAAAAGGAAAGAATGAGGAAATATATCTACAGTTATTAATGGTTAGTGGCGTTCACGTTTTTATCTTGGCTAATGAAAGTATGTGAAAAGTCTTTGTTTAAGCAAACATTATTAAAGATTGTTCATGTCTTTCCTTGGCTGTGAAACAGCTGATCCGGTCATTGTGGTGTTTCATTATAGTGCTGTAATATGATTCCATAAATACAAATAAGGAAAAACTTCCATTTTAAGCAAGTTTTTCCATACCTTTTGATCCATCAGATTCATTATGTCTTTCTGAAAAGAAATCCTATGACCTAGTTCTTGCGTGCTGTTTCTCTACATGTAAATGAACATTTTCAGGAAGCTTGACAACTATATAGTCTAGTTCTGAGTTTGAGGAGTCTCCTGGATACATTTAATAAATGTTCCGTCTGCAAAGCAGCGCAAGAAATTTAAGCTGCAAATAATGATCTGTATGCAATAAGCATGTAGTCTGGATAATTTTCTAACAGTTCTGCAAAGGGCAGAAACAAAGTTTCAGAGTAACTGTCCTGATGCTGTGTCAGTTCTCATCGTAACAGCATGAAGGATGTGTTGGTTTGACCAAGGGTTCAGTTTCACAAGCAGCTAGGTCAATGTAATGTACCCTTACTGGAAAGGAAGAGGGCTTGCTGCCTTCTCCTTTTTCATCCCCTCTTCCCTGGCCACACAGTTCCTCTGGTGCTTGTCAGGCTGTTTTGTGGATGGGTTCAACTTACCAAGCCCGCACAAAGCTCTCCGCTTCTTTTTCAGGATTAATCTTTTGCCAAATTGGCGAGGTGAATTGCCTCGCGGTGGAAGCGTCCGGCCACCAAAGCTAGGGCAAGGTGAGCAGCAGGACTTCTGGGAACGGATGCCGCGAGCAGAGCCAAACCTCTCTCTGCAGCTTGGTGGCCGCAGGCTGTTAGATGCGCTCGCGCTGTAACTTGATAGCAACAAACCACAGGCTGTTGTAACTCTGCACATGTTTGTCTGAGCAGTAACGTGAATATGAGGCATTGAAAGGTTTCCCGTTGGAACTGCCGCTTCTTGAGTTAAATGTTGCTGTTAATAAGGATGTGCATTTGTTGGAAAATGCTTTCTACGCATTCTTGATTCCCTACACAGCTAAGATTTTTGTCCTCTGTTTTTTAAGTTAAAGCAGTCTCTCCTGTTAAGAAATACAATTTAGTGTAGGCCCTGAGTATAGGAAGAATTATATTCACCTTACTCATGGCAGTTGCATTGTGTGACTGGATTGAATCTGAAGTATTCAAAAACAATCAAGTATCTGTCATGATGCACTGTAATTCATGTTTCTTACAGAAAAGTAGGAGATATTCCTAAAATTCTTAGCAGTGAAAGCAGAAAGCAGTGATTATGTTCTGATACTTTCAGCTGCAGGTCTCTCTTTCCCCTAAATCTAGATGTTAGCGAATAACTAGAAATAAAATGCTGAACTTCTTGGTACTAACTATGGAAAAATGGAGGTGTTACGGACATTCACAGAGTTGGTTAAAATATAAATATAATGTTGTTAATATCTATACTAAGAAAGTTGACAAAATTATGTTTCAAGTGAGAGAAAACAGAAGATCTTTTTGTGAGATGAAAACTGATGAGATCAGCATTTATATCTACTGTCTCCTTTAGCCTTAGGCTTTTCTGAATACCATCTGAATAATTTAGGTGTTTTCATTTGAGTGCCTGAGAGCATTAGATTGTGTACCACTGACTCCCCTTTCTTGTACCATCTAAGCATCTTAATATATCACTTATTAACATATGCAGGGACATGAACATTGTCTACATGGATATATTCAAACGTGTTGCCATTTTGTTTGAACTTAACGTTTCACATCTCTTCCTATAATGTTTCTAGGTAATTCGGCTGGGGGCCACCCCTGTTAGCCTGAGCTTGCTCTCTATCCAGGTTTATGCTTCCTCGTCAGAGAAGGAGACTTCCAAAAAGGAGTTGCTGAAAATTGAGGAGGTAAGTATGGTTAGAGCCCTAGTCCTCTTCTATCTATATGGAAATACCTATGGAACTCTGAGAGACATTATATTGTGATGTGTGAAAGCATTAGGTGCATCTCTTCACCCTTTGTATCCTTGCCTTTAAACTTGCTTCTCTATTTTCAGTAATAGAGATGTCGATATGGTTTTGCTTCTTTTACCCGACGGTTGCATTTGATGCCCTCTGCTTGATAGTGTCAGGCTTGCTTGTGTGCAAGATCTTTTTCCTACATCAAAGCCTTCTGTTCTTCATTCAGAAGTTCGTGTTTGTAGATTTACTTGTGGTCATGTTTCAAATCCCCAGAAATACTTTCTTTGCTTTTTATCCAGGTAACACCATGTATTTTTTTTATTACAAGTACGGTTGGCAAATTCTAATAAAATTTCATTTATGTTCTCCTGTAAAACAGCAAATCAAAAGTTTTTATTTCTAAAAATATTCTCTTTTTACAGGCAAAATTCTTGTCTGGCAATGCTTTGAATCCAATATAGTAGCCTACAGAATTTTATCAGTTTTTCTTTCTTTACAGCATGCAGACCTAAGCAACAACAAATACAATAAGTAGTGATAATAAAAACCTGTTACTTTATTGTTTGTCTAAGATGTTACAAATGTTTTGGTTATATCACAAGCAGAGCTTTAAAACACCCTGTAAAACTGTAGACTCACCAGCACTGTTGCCATAGACTTTTAACAGTCTCCAACATGGAAAAAAAAAAAGTTGTAGTTCATAACTAAATACAGCTTTATATCCATGAGAGTTTGTAGATGTTTAACAATTTTAAGTACTTCAACCCAAGCTGAAGTGTTGTTACATGAGCAGGGAAATGAAATGTAACTTATTTTTGTGTATACTTAGGTCTTTTGGATGTGTCTGCATGGGCAGTTCACTTGCATAATAGGAGAGGATCAGTAGTTGAAGCAGTCTCCTGACTTCACCCCGGTGAAGTAACCTTAGCTTGGGCCGTCGGCGTGGCCTACACCACCGCTGGCATGAGTCAGTAGTGAGGCAGCGGTCTGAAGGTTACCTGTGTGCTGAATAATTGACTTGCCCGTCAGCTTCAGCAAAGCAGAATGTGCAAGCCGTGGAGTTCTGGCTGCCTTTCTTACCATTCACAGTGTATGTTAGTTTGGATCTCTACTGTCAGCTGTCCAGCTTCATAAAAAAATGTATGGGAATTTCCTTATCTCTGAGACTTCTGTCCTTGTGCCAGACACGGCTGTTAGGTTGTCTGACAGGATCAAAGTTAAACCGATTGTGACTGTGATTGCCAGAGATGACTGGATTTCCTAGGGAAATGAGACTTAATGCTTGTCTTTCAAAGTATTATTGGAAATCCAGCTGCACGAGTTAGCGAATTATTTGACAAATTCTATGTCATTATATATTTTGTTATGGTTAGCAGCTTTTCTTGTTATGATAGAGATACAGTTGTTTTCCAACTTATCTTGAACAGGGCTAGCTACACTTTGAGGCAACAATACATGTAAACATCAGTTTATAATGAACTACTAAATGTAGTATAAATGTACAAAATATAAGCTCTTTCTACTAAACATCAGTGTAGTATATAGGAATATGCTAGGAATTTTAACAGGTTTTGTTTTGATCTAAACTTTGCTGTTCATCTTCAACAGTATAGACTTTTTTTTGTTTTAATCGAATACAATTTTAAATATGTTTAGGTAATTGTAATGAATACATTGTGATGTTAAACCCTAAATACAGTGGTTTAGTATTTATTATGTGAAGATGCCCATTGCTCTTCAGGTGGATATTGCAGTTCCTATTTGCTCAGCCCCATGGCGCTATTAATGCTGTCAGTTGCTGATGTGGTCAATGACTGCAACATTGGGATGTTGTACATTTTCCTGCTCAGTAACAAACAGACAAATTTGTATCGGATGTTACCTTTGTTACAACCTACTTAGACCCTTTAATGATGGCTTGTGCAAATATAGAAAATGATCGATTGTGATTTCAGAGTTCTAGTACATTTAGTATGTTAACTGGGAACCAGAAGTGCTGATTAAGACCAGAAACATTTTTCACAATTATGTTCTGTGTTCTTATTAAACTAGTTTAATATTAATTTATAACCTGTGACTTGGATCATATAGCAGCTATGGATGAATTGCATAGCAATTAGAAGTCATCTTCATCATAGTATATAATTAAACTTTGCTCATAATGGTTGTCTCACAGCTGTGCCTGAATTTTTATTATGCATTGTTTATGTAGTAAGCACCGTGTTAGGTGTTCTCTGGTTAGACTGTTCATGCCCTGAAGACCTACTTACACCATTACACCTTTGTTTTTAACCTCTTGTTTGCTAATATTCACAGCTGTCACTCTACTCCTCTCCAGCTCGTGAGACTAAGTATGTGGAGAATCCACAAACCCAACTGGAAGAGGGGGTTTCACGTTTACGGCATGTTATGGAACCATATACAGCCTGGTGTCAGGTATAATGGTTTTATATCGCATGTGGTAGTGGTTCAGTGAAAAAAGTTGAGCTGGGATTTTTTTTCTAAGAGACAGAATTAATAGATAGCAGCAAAGTAAATGTTGATAGCTGTACAAGCATTTTTCCGAAATGCTGCATTACTTAAAATTTTCCACAGTTTGGATCATAATATTTACCCCCTCCTCACACAAAACCAGTTGTTTCTTTCTACTAACTTGCTGAACTAAATCCCTGCTTGTTTGCATTTTGTATCCCTCCAAAAGAATTAAAAGAAAATTAACTAGAGCTTAGAATTGTTATCTAAAATAAACTTTAAGCTTCAAGATGCCTGGAGATATCTGGATTTGGTACCGTCCTGTGACTGAGGAAGACAGGAGAGTGATTAAATTTGCATTTTCCATGCTCAAGGAGAAGGTCTTAAATTATCAAGCAGTGTGTTTTGGGGCAGCAATACCGAGTTGTCCTCACTGCAACTGTGACAAAACACAACTTTGCAGAAAATAAATCAGTGTTTGCTGAACTGGAACGTTTAGGGAAGGAATGTGGCTCTCTGGAAGAGAGAAAATCCCAGGCCACTAGGAGTGGCAAACCTAGCCCCCAGACCTTAACCCAAAACTTTCTTACGTATTTTATTAGGTAGCATGTTTATACTAAACAGTCATTAAATACAAAAATAGTCTTTGGAGCATAGAGGAAAACCAAGATCTAAATCGAGGCCTAAATTACTGACATTAGATTGCAGAGGCATATGATGGCTTTCTTGTTCTTTCCTGACCCAGCAAATGTTGAGGCTTACTTTTGAAGCAAGAGCATCCTTGTCACCTGGTTGCCTCTTGGCAACTTTAGGTGATGCTCTGCTTTGCACTCTGGCTGTTGTGAATCCTCCTCTTAAGCTGCAAGCTGGTTCTCCAGTTCTCCGTAGAAAGCCAAGCTGTTCAGATCAGGGTGTCCTTTCTGCCTAGAAGCTCTGTGTTGTGGTACTAACCTTTAACAGTACTGAAGCATTTTTTCAGAAATACCCAGGGCTACTCAGTCTAGTGATGTGTTTCTAAAGTGCCACCAGCAGGAGTACTGACTTCAGTTTTGAAGGAGAAGGGGGATTTTCCACAGTACAGTTAGAGCTCTGACCAACTAAACACATGGGTTCGGTTTGGTTGCCTGCGGTAACCTTAACTGGGAATGAAATGTGAGACAAGGTTAGTTGCCCAGTTGGACTGATTGCAGGTAAGCCTTGAACAGTGCTTATGTCTCACTGGCCTGTTGTTTTCCTGTTTGCTTTATATTTTGTCTGCATGGTGATTATTTACATAAGATGTGCTCTTCTGCTCACACACAGCAAGCCATTTCCTGGCAGTGGTTTACTGACTCATTTTATGAAGTGGGCATGTAAACTTTATGGGTTTGGGGTCATCTTGCTTGCTTAACTGTAGTCAGAGATAGTTTTGGTTTTACACCACCCCCACCCCCTGCTATGTTAAAGAAAATAACATTTTAGGTGTGTCTCAGTTGTCTTTAAAATTAAAAACATAATCCAGAATAATGAGAATAAAATTGGTTATGTTTGTGTGTCCATTTTACTTTTTTCAAAATTGCTTGCTTAACTGTAGTGGAAAATCGGTTCAAAACACAGATATAGAAATGAGCCAGTTATATATGAGCTGTGACAGAAGATCAGACTTCATCTCTGGAGTCTTTGGAGCATGTTCTTTTTTCATTGGCTTTTAATAAGACCAACATCCATAACATCCATTTAGAGTTATGTTGTGTGTCACATGCTAACACTTCTGTTTCCGTGACAAGTTTGGGTGTTGGGTTTTTTTTTTTTTTTGGTCACTCTTGCCAGTGAGGAAATGAAAGTTCTAAAGATATGCTTTCACTTCTGCACAGATATAGCTCAAGTGGTATTGCAAGACCGTTTTCTGCTTTAGCTTTGGGCATACATGTTTATGAATTTGTTCCGTAATTGATAGACAGTCTTACACTGCCTCTCTGAAGGATTATTAGCATAATAACAATTAGCAGGGTTGCTCTTACTGAGATTTTTTTTTTTTCCTACTTTGATAAAAGGCAGTGTGAATTCTTTTACTTCCTGCATATTTTCAGTCTGAGAAAAAAATCTAGAACTAGTTTGTGGGGTTGATGCAGTGTTCTTTGATTTATTTTGGACATTCTATGGACATCTCATTTTCCAAGGCACTCAAAACATGTAGTTCTGTTAGCCTAAGACAGTCTTTTGGAAGGTGGAATTTATCACCTTGCAAAATGAGTCATGTACCCCTGTGAAGTGCTAGGAAGGAGTTACAATGCTGTACTTCCTTTCTTTGCATCAACTCAAGTATTTTTGCAATACCTATGTACACTGAGAAACCTGAGATAATCCTGAGTTTCGGCTACCCGACCAGGAACTCAGTGAAATATTGAAGTTGACTTCTGTGTTTTGAGGTATTATATTTCATATGTGTTTAAAGACTGCTTTGAGAAAAAGCTGTACGTTATGCCAAACATAATGTTGAGCAAGCATAGCCCTGTAAGTGAAGGGTGGAAGTGGGAATAAAAAGAAGTTATTTTAGGGACTCAACACTTTTTTTTTTTTTTTTTTTTCCTTCCCCCCTTTTCTTCGTCAGGTCAGTTACCTGTAGTTAATACTTTACTTACTTGGTATCTATTTACTGTTGTTTTCTTTTCTTTTTAGGATCTTTATGCTAAAGCTGTGCCCAAATTAGAAAAAGCTGTTGAGCATGGTAGAGGTAAATCAGTTTAGTTTTCTTAACTAGCAATTTAAAATGCAAGACTGTACTGTATCTTCTGTTAAAAGGGAGGTCCATTAAGCATCATTATGTACATAATTTCTAATGCATTTGAGGCTACTTTATTTGCACTGTGTATATGCTTAAATTTCCTTTGTAGGTCATTATGACACAACATTTCTAAACAATTAAAATCAGAGACCTGCATCTATGTTGACCAATGTCACTAAAAATGAGAGTTATGCAAGAAAAGAAGGAAAAACAGCCTCACATTTACTCCCAGTTGGTAGTATTTGCTTGACCCAGCCTAGTAACTGAAATTTCCTGCAATGTTTATTACTTGTTCCAAGTGTTAGGTCTTTTGTTTGTAATGTTTAGCCTTTTCGTTTTGGTTTACTTCCTTGGATGTCCTAAGAATTTTGAATTAATCCAAAATAATTTGTATTTATTTTTGGTTTTGGAAGCATCCTTTCATACTTAGGGTTGTCAGGGCTGAGTATGGATGCTATCTAGAGCTCATTTCAAATACTGCGCCTCTTTTCCTTAAACTTAACAGTCTGAGTCTTTGGAATTCCTTTGTATGGAAGGTTTTTCACAGTTTTCCATTCACCCATCGGACTCCCATCTTAGAGTGAGCTTTGTTTATACTGTCTTTCCTTTGTTCTGTGTTTTGTTTTTTGTACAGTGTTTTACTGAAACTAATTCGTGTTAACATGTAAATGTAAGAATCCATTTTGCAAAGGTTTTTATCACTAATTTGAAAAAGATATAATCGAGATGCAAAAGAGCAAAACAAAATAGATGGCCCAGGAGCAAAGGCAAAAAGCCTCTATGAAAATTGGTAAATACAATACGATGTTCAGTTTCATTCATGTGTCACTAGAGAAGATCTCACAGGCTTTGAAATTTATGCCAGCAGATCCAAAATGTGCATGATAGTTAAATGTGTTTTGATAACTCTTTATGTTTTGTAACAATTGCCAGCATGTGTTGATGATTCCTTATCACAAAACCACTTTCACATTACATTAAAGCACTTTGTTCTGACTTCTTTTCAGAGGGCTGTGAATTTCTCCAAAACCCCCCTGCTGGATTTTATCCAAGGCTTGGCGTGATAGGTTTTGCTGGAATTGTTGGATTGTTTCTTGCTAGAGGTAAGTGGGAACCTTTTGAACTGTTTATGTTATGATTTGGGATAAATAATTTATTTGTGTTTTTTTGGATACTAATTTTTAATTGTGACGCATGAGATCTGACTTAACTGTACAAGCATGTTTCTACAGTGTTCCTCCAATTATAAAGAAACTTAATGTAAAAGGTGTGTAATAACCATCAATTATTGTTTATGAATACTGTATTTGTTACTGGAAGCTAGTCTTTGATCTTTTCCAGTTCTAGCTTATTATAGCAGAAGTAGGAAAGGATTTTTTTTTTATCCAGAAAATCTTTTTAATTACTTAAGTTCTCAATCACATGTTACTGTAGAAAACTACAGAGGAATATTTTATGATAAAATACAGAGGTTCCTGAAGTATGATACATGTACAATTAGTTGCATATTCGAGTTCCTTTGAGTATTGTGTGTCCAGGCACAGAGCTGCTGCAGATGGTGATACTTGGCAAAAATACTTGTGAACTCTGGGTGTACTATATGTACTACAAATACACGCACATTTTTGCTATAGAAATGTGATACAGTTAATTTCTTCACACTAGTTGAAGAAACTAATACATTTATGCTTTTATAGAAATAAATGTTATTTTAAGAAATGTTAATTGTGAAAAAGTGTTTTGTGTTTTTATTGGGATATTCTTAATACAGTGAAATGAAGTAACACAAGAAGAAAGCTTGTAAGTAACAAAACTATGAAGTTCTAGATTTCAAATACTAGCGAGGACTTGCTTTGGATAAAAATACACCTTTGTGGGGCCTGTACGTGTTGAACAAACTGGAAGTGTGTGCCTGGCTATGTAGAAATGGAAAGCATTCTTTGAATATATACACTTATATATGCACCCTCAAAATATTTAATTTTCCCGTGAAGATGTTGAAAGCAGTATTTTTTTTTTTCCTTGCTTTTTTTTTAAAATGAAAATCAAGGTCTCCAACTTTACCCATTTGAAGTTCTTTCTCTTCAAATTCCTGCTTCTTGAGTTATGTGATTATGAATGAGATCAGCTTCCAGCCTTTACAACTGTAGCAAAATTGGCAGTGGGGAAGTGCAGTCTTGGGGATGGATCTGAAAGATGAGAGGGTCCTAAGTTTAATAAAAATAAAAATCCCTCATAATACAGATGTTTGATTTGTGAATCTTTTAGGATGGGAGCCATAATTTTAAAACTTTTTGTCTGGTTATAGTTATATATACTGACTGTTATTTCAAGAAAGTATTCAAACTGTAGAAGGAAGTGCCCCTTAATTTTGATGCTACAGAAAGTTAGAACCAAATGTTCTCTTTTTTTATCCCTTCCCCCCTTGGTGTCACCGGAAAAATGCCCTCCCCTCTTGGAAGGTACAGATAAAATCTTCCAGCTCTAACCAGAACACTTGAAGATACAGCTGACCGCTAAGTAGAAAATACAGTATTCAGAGTTTAATCATGTGACTATTGTGCAGTCATCCAGCTTGGTTTAAAATGCCATTGAAAAGAATTTGTTCTAACTGTTGAGTAGTACTGGAACGGACACGGGAGTATTCCTAAACTTCCCTCTAATGGGTATCTGCAGTAGGTAGCAGCCTGCTGGAAGGCATTAATATTTTCAGCTATTATATTTATTCCTAAAGTGATATTGTAAGCACACTGATAAGCTGTCACTAAGGAAGATTTCCCCATTCCCAGAAATTACAACAAAAGCATAATTTTTCTGGTTGTAAAGATGCAATGAAGCTTGCCTTTTCTGTGTTTTCTTATAACTAATTGGTACCAAGTTCCTTCTTCACCTGACTAGCAGCATCACTTTATGAATGTCTCTTGTTTACTGCTAAGTTTCTCATCTCATCATGAGCATATGTTAGTGGAAACACTAAACACTTCTAATACACGTTTCCTCTTCAAAATTCATTATTCCTTTATTAGAAGCACGTGTGGCTTCGCATATAGAACAAGCTGTTCTATGAGGAACAAAACTACTGCGTCCTGACTCCCATAGGTCTGTTCTACGACCTTTTTTCTCCTGTACTGCTTGCTTTTCTCCTTTACGTCCTCCCTTCTGTGTTCCTTTCTGACTGGATAAACTGCAGTATGCCCTGTAACTGATTCAGCGATGCGTATTGTCACTGGCCAGCCAGGATACACAACCTGTGGCCAGCTGTGATACGAGGATGAACTTTTCAGGCAGTTAAATGATTTTAGACTTGTATAATTGAATGGAGAGTTCAAATTGATTAAAATGTTTAAAATTTAGTTGGGGACTGAGCAATAGGCATGGCATAATTGTAAGTACTTTAGTTTAAAAGTACTTTCAAATGCTTTGCAAATGGCTATTTGCAATTAAGAACAATTATTCATAAGAGCAGTTGTGGAAGAATCAATGTTTGTGAGTCAAGGTAACTTAAAGTTTGTATTGGAAAGCTTCTTGTTCTGCTTGTTCTGAATGCTTGTTCTGCATTCAAAAGAATGCTATCCTAACTTTTCTTTGCCTGAGTTTTTTCCTTTTAATTTAGAAAGACTATCAGTTGGTATAATTCTCTTAAACATCTCTTAACTGTGGCTTTTACTTCATTATTCAGTACTGAAATAAATTATGTATTACTACAGTAAATATAGTTGTAAGGTAATTTTCACTGTGGAAAGATGTTAATAAAAATATTCTCTTTAAAAGGTTAAAAGAATAATTACTGATCAGAGTACTAATGTTTCTTAAGAAACCAATAGGACTGAACAGAAATATGGTAAACTGTAGTTAATAAAATTGTTTTGATTATAAATAAAAGGGTAGGGCCATTCCGCTGTCTTGGTTAACATATACTCTAACAATGGTTTGGGTGTTTGTTTTGTTTTGTTTTTTTGTTATGAAACAGGCTCAAAAATAAAGAAGTTAGTGTATCCTGCAGGTCTCATGGGTATTGGTGCCTCCATGTATTACCCTCAGCAAGCAGTTTCTATTGCAAAGGTCAGTGATGATACCTTTCTTTGGAGAAGCGTCTTTTACTTTGGTTGTTGCCTCCTACCTTCAAATTAACTGGTAATCCATTTTTAAAAGCCATGTCAGTGTGCTTGGCACTTAACAAAATGATAGTTATTTTGTCAAAAAACATGCAGTCTAGGCTGAAAGACGGTCAGATATTCTGTTTCTTCTAGTGACTTTTTTTGTCCTAACATCTGCTGTAGTGTCTTCAGTTTGAGGAACATAATTTCCTTTCTGAATCTCTAACCTCAAATAAATTAACATAAATATGCTTAGTAAGCGCAGTTTGCATGTTTACTTACAATACTAAGGAAGCCTGAAATACCTTGAGAGCAAATGAAAACAGTGTTTGGAAGAAAGAGGAAAGAAAAAAAGGAGATTCTATAGAGAAGTTGTAGGAACAACATTTTGAGTTAAACATTGTTATTGAAGTTTTCTGCTTTTTGTTGGATAGAGTTTTAAGAAAGATAGCATGCACATTCTGGAATGGGGTAGAATTCTGCTGCTTATTGGATGCTTTCCTGTTTATGCGTTTGTTCTTTCAGGCACATAAGAAACATGTTAACTTACAGTTGCTTATGTGGGTTTCCTGTGAAAGAAAGACCTGAAGAGACCAGACAATTGCTTACAGCCCCTACTGATGTCAGTTCATATGCCTTGCTATCCACACTTAATTGTACTGGCAGATTTCTCAGTTCTCCACCACATTCTTTTTCAAATCCAGCTTTTAACCACACACAGCACACATATTTTAGTGTGTCAGCAATACTTTATATTTCAGGCTTTGGTAAATTGGCTATCCAGTTACTGGTGACTTGAGAATGACACTGAGATGTCAGGATGAAAATATGATATTCTCAAGAACATATGATCTTTGAAAACTGAAAGGTCATTAACATAGGGAGAGTCAAAAACACTGTGTTTGAACTCTGACAGCATGGTGATACCCTGATCTTTGATGGAATCCTTTTTTAGTACTTCCAGGAGTCAGATGCTCTAAATACAAATAGTTCTGTTGACTTATTCTCAGGGAGAGAAAATTATGCAAGTGGCAGGAAAAAAAGCATCAAAATTTAAGAAGCTTAGACATTTCTGTTGGAAACTGGATATTGAAATTCTAGTTGCCTCCTGAACAGTGAAGTGGGAAGTGATTGAATGGTGTTCAAACTGATGTTATTGTTTTTAAAGAAGCTCAGTTCAGTCTTAACTATGGATTTGCTACTAACAGCTTCACAGTATCTTGTTTATTTTATGAAAACTTTGAAGTGCATGATTGCCCTTTGATTAATTCACAGTTCTTAGTTTGACTAACAAAAACTCTGATACAAGACCATGAGCCTGAAACTTGATTGGAATAGGTTTAGCTTTGTTGTCTTGGTCAGGACACTAGATGTAAGAGTTTGAAAACTAATGTGGAGAGAGTGATATCCTAGATATTCTTTTGGTTCCTCTAATCTCTCTCTCACTTTTCTTTTCTTAAAAAAGCAAAGATTAAGCACATCAGGTGTTACTATCTGTATTTTTTACGCTTTAGTCTGAAATTGGAAGCACTTTTTTGAAGTGTTTCATAAGCCTTTCAAAAAATTTCTGTAAGCCTAGAAAGGGATGCTGGCAGTACACAGCTCACTTGCCAAGTTAATAGAACAGTATAGGAAATATTCAAGAACATAAATTTTATTTTTTTTATTTATTCTTTATATTATGTTCTTTTTATTTTTCATCCACATTTGAGTACTTCATCACTGCTTTTTCATTTACAGTGGTATAGTTCCCTTCATTTGGTAAACTTTCAGATTTGACCATACTTTAAAAGACTAAAAAAGTTTTGGGTGGTGGGTTTTTTTTTTCCTTCCCACTTTCCATTGGAGAGTTGGAAACAAACACAGCAAAATGTATTTGCAGTTGAGGTACAAAACTTGATGCATCTGTCTGGAAGAAAACTTTTTTCTTTAATTAAAATGTGTGAGTTGCTAAGTGAAGTTACAGTAACAGACTTCATCATTGGTAATAGGTAGGATTTCAAACACTGTTCATCTAACTGGAGATGGAAGAAATGCACAGTTCTGAAAGTTTTAAGTTTCTTCCAGTCTCCAACAATTCACTGCTCGGAGATTTCCTGAGCCAGAGATGATTTCTATGTGTATAACAATGCCCAAGGAATTTCCCTCCTATTAACTTATTGCACTTCCCCTTGAACCCCATGCAAATTTTTAACATCCACAACATCCTGTGCCAAGAAGTTCTGCTGCTGGGCACAATGGTACAAAGAACCACTTCCCTTTGTTTGTCTGAACAAAATTAAGTACACCAGTTACGTATCACAATGCTAAGAGATGTGCTTCTGGGCAAGTGATCATGTTACTACCTTACAGAAGAGGCTATTTAATAATTAGAATTAAAAGAAAACAAACCCAAATCAGCAACTACATTACCAAATCCCAACTAAATCCAAAATGTAGGCTGTTTTAAATACAAAGAGCTAGCGTATTTGTCACCACATTTGGCAGTTACAGTTGTACTTTTGTTTTAAACAAGTTAGTATGATGGACTGAGTTTTCCCTATATTTGAAGGTGATAAAGATCATCAGAAAAAAACACACCAACTGTTCCAGGGATGAATGTATTAAATCTCCAAAATCCCTCAATTCAAACATTGCAGGTATAGATGATTATCTTCTTTTTCAGTATCAGGAGTGTTCATTCTTAAATACTTAAACAAAATAGCTCTGACAGTCAGAGAAACCTATGGCTCATCTGGAAAGATAGTGTGATCAGATGTGCAAGCAGTACACACCCTCCAGGACTGAAAAATAACCACAATGAACAAACTAACAGGGCTTTTTTTGTCTGCAAGGTTACTGAGGACACAGCTATCAACATAAAATGAGAAACAACAACTATCCATAAGCCATTTCTTGTTCCTGCCTAAAAATACTCCATTAAAATACTTAAAAACACTCTAAATACCTAACAGTGCAAACTTTAAAATATGCTTATTATAGGAGTCATATGATCAGATGAATGATGAATTGCACCAAATGAGAAACTGGTCATTCACATTGCTGGAGTAAAGTAGCTACATCACAAGGTACAGCAACCCAGATGGTTTAGTCTGCCACAGTCAGCCAATGTTTCAGCACTGTGCACACCTCCCAAGAGCTGGGCCCCACACATGCATTCACAGTTTGCATGGGTTGAAAAATACAATTCTAGGTAGACTGTAAGCTGCAAGTTACAGGGTCAATAGGAACATAGCCAAGAAATTTTTAAAACCACCCAATGCATCCTCTCATGTACACAACACTAGAGTCACACGTTAGGCTTGTGTTTTATACCTCTTTTTCTCATGGAACAGTTGAAGAGGAAGCAGGTGAGTACTGCAGTTGCCACTACTATTCTTGGAGTGACAGTTCCAACCAGGGAAAGTAAAAGGAATAATCATAATACAAACACTTCATCCAGCTGTTCAAAGTGTTCATTCCAACATTCATACAAAGAGTTTCTTTCAAAGAGGGACCGGTTTTCCATTCAGTCATCTGGAATTCTTAATTTCTGGAAGGTAACAATTTCCAGCTTGTTCGTGTTAAATTACAACATGCTAAAATACCACCTCTGTTCAGTGCAACACTGTAAGTTTGTATGCTGAAATTTGAACAAACAAGCTCGAAAGTCAGTTTGAATGGTTCTTGACAGCAACTCTGAAATAGTTTGGAAGTGACCTTGGGCCTTAAACACCCATAGTAGGCGCTTCTGGGGTAGCATCAGCAGTCTCGAAGGCCTAATGTGCATGTAAACAAGCTCCCATATTTTAATTCCACACAGGACCATAAGCATATAATATTGACTGTACCATATGTTATATGTTCAAGATTATTGAGCAGAATTATGGTTAGCAATTTTTTATCTACATTGCATGCTGAGAAACTAAACTGAGAATATGTTGGCTTTTCTACATATTGTTAACAAAGTAGTCATAGTGCGATTTCACAAGCATTTCATTCTGCAGCAAACATGGATCAAGTGACCCCAGCTCCTTCTTTTCAACCCACAGTTCCTGTAATCATGTCATGCTCTTAGTGGTGCCAGTACAACTGTTTATGTCTTATGGACTGAACTGGGCAAGGGACAAGGTATAGGTTCAAAAGACACAGAAATAATTTAGTTTGTTGTCAAAGAAATAAAGGTGCCTTAGGAAGTTTTTCTTTCTTTCAAGAAGAAGATAAGCATAACACATGCTACTTCAGGAAATTTGAGAAGTTCTAACAACAAGGAACAAAAATTCTAATGATAATGAGACTAATTTAAGTAACTTCATAATGGAAGGTTTTTTCCAGATGGAAGATAAGCCACAGTAAACACAAAATATTTTGAATGTGTTATGATTAGCTGGAAAGCAATACAGTTCCAAAACACTAGTTAAAGTTCCACCAGAACAAAATAAACTTTAGTATTGAACTCAGTTCCCTTACCACATACACAGTCTGACCATCTGTTCAAAGTTACACAAATTAAAGTAATACGAGCAGTGAGGAAATAAATCCTGTACAAATTTGTGATTTATTAGAATGATTACTAAAGCAGGAAAAAAAAAAATTCAGAAACATAATTTACACTTGCCCTGTTCTCATAGTTTTGGTTTTCTTTGCCTGCTGTGGGAGATAGGGTGATACCTTCTTATTTCTTGATTTTGTAAGCTTTTTAGTTTAATAGCTGTCTCGTTGGGCAAGTTGTCCATTTTTGCTGTTCTTTATTTGTAAGAAAACTGATAGTGATATGAAGGTGAGTACTGACCTGATCTTGGAGCTGTAAAAGCCTAACACTCTTGAGTTTTAAAGGATGCTATGAATATTACAGTTCCATGTCGTGTAAAGGGCAGGAGATACTCTTTTATTAGACTTGGGGATTTCTCCTGTTGTAAAATTACCTGTGGTGTAATATAGCGAACACTGTCTTTCCTAGCTGTCTTCTGTTTTGAGAGTTGATAGCTGGTTATTCATTACATCTATCTATTAGCAAATTAGGTTTGTCTTCTAAATAGCAAATAAAGAGAAACAAAGGGGTACCCTTACTGTTCTGTCAAAGCAGTGAAAATGTAAAGTTGCAAAATAGTAACAAATTAAGTAGGGGAATTTTTTTTTTTTTTTGGTCTTTAAAATGAGTATGGCCAAATTAAGAAATAATTTGCATATGTTGAATCTGTTGAACGTCGAATACTAAGAAAAACAATTGTTTCTATGCAGCATCATTCCACCTCTTTCTATACTGATACATTTTCAGGTAGTCTTCAGACAGTTTTTTAGCAAGATGGCTTTTCTTGTTCCTCATGTGTCGTTTTTTTCAAGATGTATGTTAATGGTGTACACCCTGAGCTTGAATAGGAAGATGTTAAAGATCTTGTGTTTTGAGACTTCTCCCACTTAAACAAGAAGCAAAATAATATTTCCCAGATTATTAAGTTCATGCTTTCTAATATCTTTTGTTTCAAAGGTTGCTGGTACACAGCTTTATGACTGGAGTCTTCAGGGATATATTGCTGTAGAATCTCTTTGGAAGGATAATCCTAAGAAGAAGAAATCTGCAAAAAAAAGTGATAAGGTAAGAAGTCTGAGGAACTTGATTTCTGAATTTACCACTGCCTTTACAGACAAAGAATATACAAACAATAGTGGGTTTTTTTCCACTGTGACTCAGCTTTTATTTCTGAAGACAAAGGTTTCATTCTGTCTTTCTAAGCTGTGGTAAAATATTAAGTTTATTTCAAGTTAAACTTTCAGAAATGCCGTTTGGAAGTTTTCTTTAGTATAATCAACTAAGTGTTTAATAGGAAGGCTGGGAGTATTGTGATTGGAATGCTAGGGATCAAGGCTCTTATAGTCTTGATTATTTAAAAAAACAAAGGTTTTTTTTTTAGTAATTTATTTTGACAAGCTCCATGTTTCAAAATCTGAAAAAACTTTTTTTTTATTAGATATTGCCTCTTTTAAAGAGAGACAGTAGAATCTTGTTTCCAATTTATTCCCTTTTTGTTTTTTTCCTTGGAATGTTCATGAATATTTGCTCTAACGTGATAATGTCATTGTGTGCTGCTCTATTAAACATTACTATCTAGTCATAAAACCAGCAGTTCATAGAGAGATGCAGTTCTTGGGGATTTAGTCACAGATAACTAGTTGTGTGGTTTAATACTTACAGCCCTGTTTTAGGAAACTTTGGTTTAATTGGTTCTCATCCAGAAGACTGCCAATAAAAATTGAATTTCTTTTGAATCTGCTTTGAACCAGACATCCTTGTGAGGTACCAAGCGCAGTCATTGCTGACAGTTTCTGCTTTCTGGATTTCCAATTGTTAAACACTGTATGAGGGGTCAGACTAACATTCACATATGTGAATTTTTTTTCTTTTCTTTTTTCTTTTTTTTGTTTTGTTAGAATAACATTCATCTTTATTTTTTGTTATGCGAGTCACTTTTTGTTTTCTGGTCTGGCATTACTGTTCTGATGTCTGCTTAGAGATGACAGAGCAAATGCTAACATAATGGCTTTGTTTTCCAGAGTTTGGTAAGCACTGAGGTTTCTTTAAAACATCATTTTTGAATTAACATTGCTAGTACAACTAAGTGAATGTTTGCATGCTTATTTTCAGTTTTAGAATGGAGCAGCTTTCCTCATTCCCCCTACAGAGCAGCCTTCCCTAATCCCCCTACAGACCATCACTGATACAGTACGATTTTCTTGTGTACTTCACCAGAGAAGGGAAGTCTTTTCTTCCAGCACTCCTGTGGTCCACGCTTATACAATACCACCATTTTAAGGCATGTGTGCCTTTAGTTACTTTAAATCTCAGTATCTCAGCCACCATGCTCTTCCATAGTTGATTTATAGTCATCAAAGTAGTTGTGCTATATTTAAGTCATATTATTCAGTGTACATGAATGAATTTATCCTTGGTTTTGAGTTAATGTTTGTTTTGGTATCTAACTGTTTGCTTATGTATGTGTGTTAAAGCAGTGTGTATTAAGACTTCATATTAGATTTTTAAAAATATACATAATAAGTATTATGTTTCTATATAAAACCACAGAATGGTTGAGGTTGGAAGGCACCTCTGGAGGTCATCTGGTCCAGCCCCCTGCTCAAGCAGGGCCACCTAGAGCTGGTTGCCCAGAACCATGTCCAGGCAGCTTTTGAATATCTTCAAGGATGGCGACTCCACAACCTCCATGGGCAACCTGTGCCAGGGCTCAGTCACTCTCACAGTAAAAAATGTGTTTCGTGATGTTCAGAGGGAACCTCCTGTGTTTCAGTTTGTGCCCATCGCCTCTGGTCCTGCCCCTGGGCACCACTGGAAGGAGCCTGGCTCTGTCCTCTGTGCCCCCTCCCTTCAGGTATTTACACGCACTGATGAGATCCCCCTGAGCCTTCTCTTCTCCAGGCTGGACAGTCCCAGCTCTCTCAGCCTGTCCTCACAGGAGATGTTCCAGTCCCTTCATCGTCTTTGTGACCCTTCACTGGCCTCCCTCCAGTATGTCCGTGTCTCTCGTATACTGGGGAGCCCAGAGCTGGACACAGTACTTAAACTTTGTCTGTGAAGTTGGTCAAGATGGTACACAACTGTAGTGAATTGTAGGGTTTTAGTTTTGTATATCTATAATTGTTTGCTTCTACAAATTGCTTGATATTATTGTCCAGTAGAGCAGTATACAGTGAAATCATTATGTTAGAGCAAATACTCATATATAACACCCCCCCCAAAAAAAAAATCTGAAATGAGATCCTATTTTGCTCCTTCAAATGCATTTTGCGTTCTACAAAATGCTACCAAGTTTTCAAAATTGATTAATGATACCGGTTGAAGATTAACACTGACTAGTGAAGAAATGGGAACTTGTTTTAATGAACCATTACGTTATGTAATGTCTTGATCATAATTTATAACCTGCCTGAAGCTTCTGGAGTTAAGTATCTTGATGTTTTTGGTTTTTATCTACTAGACATTTCTGTTACCCCACAGAAGCAAGCAGTCTTTGTAGTTGTACCTCTCTGATACAGATAAGCAAACTGACTTCTAGGAAATCTATGTAGATGGCTCAGTGGACCAGAGTGTGAGAGACTGGAGAACTGTGTGTCTTGCTTAAATGTGTGCCAGAGAGAGCCTGTAAGGTTTTTAGGAAATTTTTTTAACTGCTACTTAAAGAAATAAAAGTTCAGGTGTGTAATGTAAAGCTTCTGTGGGTTTAAATTCCCTTCTAAACTCACTGCATCTTCAATTCCTGATTTCTAAACAGCTATGCTTGTTCTGTTGTTACAAACTGCTGCCCTAGCTGCAGACTGCTTCCCATCTCTTATTTTAGTTGTTTAATGTAGCCTGGCAAAACTAGCAGGTGATTTCAAAACAGCTTTGAACCGGCAGAAAGTTTTGGTCTTTTACTGTGGACCTCCTGATTGAGCCATAGCTCACAACTGTTAACAGTTCATACTAGGTTGACAATGATGTATGGCTTCTGGCTTGCTGTAAGCCAGAAGTCCTATCTGACCAGAACATGGTATTTTCAACCCAGAGGCCTAAGACGTAAGGGGGATAGCCACTGAGAGAGAGATGTTTTGGAGAGGCAATTGCATTTGAATAGACTGCAGGTATGGGACTGAGTTCCCTAGGTAGGTCTAGGTGTGGGACTAGTTCCAAACAAGCTGGGTTGGAGAAATGCTTGCGTGTCCTGTCAGTTGCTGAGTCTTATGAGAGTGGAAAGAGTCATCAGTGGATACTCGTCCTGTATCGACCCGAGGCGCTTCAGTAAATGCGCTTGTATAGCTCCCTGAATAAACAAAGGTTAGTTACTATACCTTTCCTAAAATCTAGGCTGCCAAAAAGTATCTCAAAAAAGTAGGCAACATTAAAATATTTCAAAAAGACAAACTGACAGCATCAGTAGAAATTAGCTGAGCTTTTTATTTTATTGTCCCAGGCTTTCAAAAAGAAACATGTGGTTGTTATTGGAAGGCAAAAACGTCTGAAGCTTTCATCTTATTATAAGGCTTATTCAAGCACTTGCTACCTCAGCAGAAAAACAAATGACATGCAAAATTGTGGAGACGACTAAGTAAACATGCTTCTTTCTCTTCCTCCTTGCAGAATCTTTAAATCACACCCCTTAGTTGCCAAAATATGTTATTTGCAGAAAAGAATGAAATGCCATTGAATGGTTTCCTCCTAAAGTTCATCTGATTGATCAGATATTGTTAGTGTTAGCTGTTGCCATTTAACTTCACGGATTAGGCAAGATACAAAAAACCTGTGACTTATGTGAAGAAGCACTATGTACTTGGTGAAATTGCCGGCATTTCAGATGCTCAGTGATCTCTTACCACTGGAGTATACAGCCTCCTTGTTTCTTTGTCCTCTGAAGTTGTTGAAGAGACGGTATTGTAACCCTGGTGTCTGGAGAAGCTGAGTAGCAGTTGTAAAAAGTCACATGCTTTTGAAGTCACTAGAATGTGGACTGAAAAGTATTTCTAGTGGAAGAAGTCTGCTCTGAAACTTCCTTTTGGTGAAGCACTATAAAATACATAGTTGAGAATTTGGAGCGGGGGAGGCTAGGGGTGGGTTTGGGGTTTTTTTGTTTAGTTTTTTTCTTCTTTTTTATCTTAAAGATAATTTTTATCTGTGTTATTCTGTTCTATCAGGATGTGGTCAGTCATGGTTAACAATGAAAACCTCTACCTTTTTTTATACATACAAGCACTAGTTATACTAGTGCAAAAAAGTACTTTTTGTTCATACAGGTGATTAGATCCACCAAATCAGTATCAACTTTTCCAGCAAAAGAATTTCTGTTACAAGTTGCATTTTTATTGGAGCTTTTACTGATACAGAAATGTCATGGAATAAAATAAATACTTCTAACTATCATGTACTAAAATTGGCAAAAGGTTCTAGGAGAGATTCTGGGATTTCTGTCTTAATTTGACAGCTGTGTGACAGAATTGGTTGGTTTTGTATATTTATTTCTTATTGTTGTACGAGGCAGCTAGATTCCTTAACTAGTGAAGGCAAATATAGATGTTATTCTTGAGTTGCTCTTCCAGCAGATGTAACCCATTTTGTGAAACCATGCCAGAGCAAAAGATGGGTTTTTTTGTTTGTTTTTGACATTCACTCTAGCATTTTTCTGTTGCTACACAAAGGATTCTTGCAAATAGTCAAGCAATATATGGGTGGCTCTTCTTGGCTTGTGTTAATTTGTTATGTTGTTCATAATTTGTTTGATAGTCATAGGTACCACAGCTGTGCATAACTTCATGTTTGTGCAGCAATATGTCATTAAAATAGATGTGGTATGTTAATTTTCTGAAGGTTTTATGAAACAAAAACCTGTGCCAAATTGAGGTCATATCAACTGAAATCTGAGTTCTGCCAAGAAAGATGAATTCCAGGACCTTCTGCTGCTACATTTCAAAACACTGTGGCTGGAGCCCCTCCATAGGGCAAGTCTGTCGGATAAGGTTTTGAATACACTGTTTACAGTATAGCATTCTTGTATCCTGAAGCTGGCTTATTGAAGGAGCCAGCTCTTCAGGATGTCCGGATGAAAGCCCTCT